AGGAAAAGGGAATCCAGTGGTGGATCCAGCGGGGGGTGGGGGGTTTGATTTTGCATTCTACCTCGATTTCATACATTTGTAATCTCAATATTATGAAACTAACTCCGTACTAACCTTCTGGTTAATACGATGAATCCTTTAGGTATCTACGTACATACGTACATGTTCGTAAGAAACATTCAATCATTTATTGATTTCATTATCAGCTGCATAGCGATTCAAGAAGCGATGAAGGTAACAAAATAAATAAATTCATGAGAATTCCTTGAAACAATCCTTGTGGAGGAAGACTCTTCCGAAAACATCAAAAGGTAAAAGTACGCACGGATGAATTGAGACAAAAAATATATATTAAGAGCATAAATATTTCACTAATGGAAATATTTTTTTTTTTTACTTCTTGTGAGCTTTTATCAACAAACCAGTGATTTTTTGGGACTCTGTTAGAAAAATTTTAATGGGAATTTAGTGATGTAATGTAATGTAATATCTTTCTTATTGGACAAGCACGAAGATGCCACCACAACACATCACAACTGGATCGATTAAAAGACGCTTTGAACGAAAAACATCAGCATTTTGTCGACACATTTCCACCAATATGCTGCACAGGTGCACATGTACTTACATAGTTGGCATGACAAAATTTCATTCAATTGAGTTACGAATTGTTACTTTATCCACTATTTTCCCCGAATTTAACACCCAGAGACCCGTATCCAAACCGACAGAAATGGCTGGGAGAAAAGAGCTTTGGCTTTATTTTGGGCACGAGGAACGGTAGATATTTTTTTGGAAGGCAGCCTGAAAGCGGGAAAACACTAAGCGAAAAAATATAAATAATTTTTGGCCCAAAAAAAAAAAATCTCTTACTGCTGATCCACCCACTGAACATACGTATACCTTGACGATGTTAATTAAGTTCAAAAATTTACGAAGGGGCTTCTAACGAAATCAAGAAGCATTTTCAGGGCAGAACTAAATTTTTGCAAATTACTCTTATCATTGATGATCGCAACTAAAAACCATGAAATTTCTGGCGTCAATCCCTCCTACATATTTACATATGCCCGTATGTTTTTAACAATGAAACGATGGGGCTTCTTCAATTCAAAATAGACCACAAGGCATATAAGGAATTAAATAATGAGTACCTAAGATAAAAAAAAACATTGGCGTTTATTAAAGGATTCAAATTTATTCGAATATCGGATTATCGGATCAGAAGTAAATAAAAACAGCTTCCATAAAACTGCAAATAAATGACACAATAAAAAGTAGCAAAAAAATCTTTTCTCAGCCAAATGCTCAGCAATATATATAAAATTGAACAGCAGCGTGCAGCGTATTGTAATTTTTCATTTATTTTATCATTTTAATTGAATACAATTTTTCAAATGGGTGGCAACCTTCCACATAAAAATATTTGCGGCTGTAAGTCTTCTTAAATCTCTTTCTCTTAACAGCCATATTGGAATGTTTACTTTATATTATCACTTTACTTGAAGTGCAATTTTCAAACAGCTGGCAACTCTATATTTATTTCTTTTCGTGTTTTAAGTTAGACCTCTAGAAATACATCGATGAAAACTGGATTCAATTACATGCATTAGTTTTCGAGTGATAAGCGTACAAACATACAGACAGACAGACAGACAGACAGGTAGACAGAGAGACAAAAATTCTAAAAATGTTTGATTTAGCTTATTTTGCTCTAATAGTTTTCATTTTTCTTTAATATCTGTTATGTACAGACATCGGCCAGTTACAATTTTATTATATGTATAGATTAGCAGCAGCAGCAGCCCGGCAATGAAGCATATATGTATGTATGTATGTGTGTATATGTACCAGTAACATTGTTTTTACTAAATAAATAAAAAAAAAACTAAAATTTCACAGCTGTACATACCCGTAGGCAAACTAATGATTATCGAATTAGCAACTCAATGTTAGATTATAAATCTCGGTAATTGAGGTAGATAGGTGTTTATTTGCGTTCACACAGCGCTGCCAAAATTGTAAAATTAAACAAAAATAAACTCAAAAGTTAACTACGTACATAAGTTAGATAAAAATATGCGGTTTAATTTATGTATGTATGTATATTAGAGTGGTCCGAAGTTGCATGTGAAAAATTAAAGTCGGAATTTTAATGCCGCCACCCCCCCTAGGATTGTTCTATACCGGAAAAAATGTATCCCTTTTTTTTTAATTAAAAAAAATTAGACTCTCAAAGTTTTTCATGATTTCCCATCGAAAAATATTGATTTTCAAGAATCTTATATCATTTCTACGAAAAGTTGCTTTCCCCCATATAAAATACACGGAAAACTTTCAGCGCTTTGAGCACTCCCTTAATATTTTTTTATTTAAAAAAAAAAAAAAAAAATACGGGTATATTTTTTGCGGTATAGAACAATCCTTGGAGGTGGCGGCATTAAAATTCCGACTTTATTTTTTTGTTGTACCTCCCTAATGTACATACACGCGAACATTACAAAAACGACATAGAGTAAATCAGAATAGTTCGAAAAACCCTCCAAAGTTCTAAATAAATCTTAAAACTCGCTGAAAAAGATGAACTGATATTTTTGCAAATCAACAGCTGCCATTCATGGAAAACGAAAATGGTCGAGCTCTTGTGACTCATTGACCAAAGTATATAGATAGCAACTAAAAACTTTTCGCAATAATGAATTCTGGGCCACTAAAAATAAAATCATTGAATTTGGAGTTCCACTGAACCAAAAATGCCCCACAACCCCG